GACAAGCACAGCATCATTATAGATCAGACTAAAATATTAATGCTGACCAAATAAAACTACTGAATTAGAAAATGCATTTGTGGATTTTTATGTAAAAAAAAATGAATAAGAATCACATGAGTTTTGCCAATAAATATAAAAATAGATATCAAATATTAATAGATTGATGAGACTTGATTACACAGTGGAAAATCTTTAGAGTTAAAAAGGGAGATTTAGTAGACATGTGCATCAGCAGACCTAAGTCAGTTAAAGAAACACATGTCCCACCATTATGTCTCACTGATTCCAAATAGGGGGCTCAATATTGTCTAATCAGTAAAAAGGTAAATGTGTTGTTTTTTTTGGAAGCTGAAACAGCTGTGACTATCCAAGTAAATGTAAGTGATGCAGCTAGGTTTGCATTACAGGTTACTGTAAAGCAGGTGTATGTGTTTGAGGATGATATGTCAACATGTGTCATGTGTCAAGAGACTGTCAGACAAAACAACGGGCAGGATACAAAGGGAGGAATGCTTTTCCTCTGAGAATAGAATGCACAGTTTGTGTACCTTTTTGAAGCTTATTATGTTGCCTATTGCACTGCAGAAAACACAGCAAAAGTACAAATGGACATGCATGCACATTTATAGTTCTGTAGCATTAGTTGCAAATATATAGGATGGTGTGCGCATATTTTTAACATTACATTTAAAAGACAAATGCATTATGTGTGACAGTACATTTCAAAAATTCTACACTTTACTGTGCAGAAGAAAAAGTAAGTGACACTGATGGAGGTGTTAAAGAGTCACTAAATGGGAGTTCTACAGATCTGATTGGAGGAGAAAGAGAGAAGAGTGGGGTAGGGGTCTGGGGATTGGGGAGGAGAAAGATATGGAAAAGGAAGAAAAAATTACCAACGTCATTTGACCTGCAGCAGCAGTCATTATTTCCCACAGTTCCTATGTCTGTAAAAACAGCAACAACATGTAGCCTTCAAGCACCATGTAACAACAGTTCTGCCACTTCAACCATCCAACAGTTTTCCCCCCAAGCTTAAAGCTAATTGGGCGACCTGACCTGGCATTGGAGACATTTGAGTCTCAGTATAGAAAACAAATAACACTGAAACAATGGTGAGCAGATGGACACTGACACTCATGATCGTCTCAGAAAAATGTGAGGAGATGTGTTTGGAGCATTCCTGCAAAGTGTCTTTAGTCATTTTGTATGTCCAACAGGTCTGCTGTGTAACGAAAGCTTTATCTGAACAGCAATCTATTAAACTAAAACGATTTATATAACGTGCATTACAAATCTAAATGAGGAAGGTGTTTTGACTGGTTGATTTGCTTGACAAATGAGGAGTACAGAGACGGTAATAATATTACAAAGGACCTTACTTGGAAGAAAAATAACAGAACGAACAGATTTAATCTAATAGAGGATTAAAAAGTACAGTTGGTGCTCTTCTAATGTTTCAACCTAGCCTAGTATTTATCTGCTTACACCACTGTTGGAAATGTTTAAGAGTTTTTCAACATTTAAGCCCTTTCCCTTGGAAAGTGAGATGAATAGATCACCAAAATAATGTCATGGACGTGTTTAGCTAGTTTAGCATGAAGACAGAAACAGGTAAACGCCTAGCTTGGCGTGTTCAAAAGCACACCAACCAACACTAAATCTCACTAATTTACATACATTTGTTAATTAATATGAACAGAATTTGTTTTGCATTTTTTGGCACCATTTCTGGGGAATTATCTTTGGGCAAACAACAGCTAATTCTCCGAGTCTGGTTATCTCAGAGAGGCTGTCGGGTCTGCTGCTGTTAGTCGTTCTTAGATACCAATATCATAACCTGTGCTCACAATATCATACATCTTCCACTAAAAACAACACTGAAGCACTTCCAAATACTACTACATTCCTGGTTAGACGTTTCCCTCAAGTCTTTTTTCTAAGCTAGCTATTTTAAGCTTTCAGATTCATACTTAGTTAATTGCTTAGTTGATGCATTTATTCATGTTTTAGCCACTTGGTGCCAGTGGTAAAATCAGTTAACCCAACAGTTAAAAAAAGAAAAAAAACATGGAATTTCAACTTAGTAGTAGTATTCTTTCAGCTGTTTTTGGTTTCTATGAACTAATGCTAAATAGCTTTAGGTTATTGGCTTTCATATCATCTTCTCATCTTACTCTCAGAGAAGAAAATGCTGAACTATTGAAACTACTAAAAGATATCTTCTTTGTATTTTAGATTACCATTTTAATCTAAATTCTACTTCTGTTCGACAACTGTAACAACACACAACAGTCACACAAATGGAAAGGTGTTTTAATGGTATCTGTTGTGTCTTGTGTTTGTTCATATGTTAAACAATAAAAAGGAAAAGTAAGCTTTTAAACATTGCTGTTACAGATCAGATCCAATTCACAAATACTGCTGACAAGTTAGAAATTAAGGTCCAATGTTTCCTCAAGCAGCCTTTGTGTTCAATTAAAGTTTTAACACAACAAATGTAATAATTTTCCTCAGTGTACTTTAACTGGTCTTCAAATAAATATTCATTGTTCTTTTGCCCCGAAAGTATAAATGTTAAGAAACAGTACTACTCGGTTTAAAAATGTACTTTATGGCACCAAATTCATAAACATGCCATTGTAAAATGACTAACTATGACAATTATGTTGTCAACTTTGCTTTTATTGCACAATAAACTACAAATGTATATCTTGGGCCATTGTCAGATATACACTGTAAAATACAGCCACATGTTTGATAATACTACCATTGTTTCAACTTCGAGAGACATATGCAAGAATATGATTATTAAGTTAAATGGGATTATATTTGTAAACTGATAAACACCAAGCACAGGTGAATTTTGAAATGGGAATGTGTTTTGAACATGTGGAAATGGAAAACAAACAGGTTCCAGACCCTGAGACTTCTGACAAAGAGTACAAGAGGTCCAAAACCAAATGAAAATCAAACAGGCCACATGCTTCAGCATGCTTGTTCATACATAGGTGGTGATTTTATTTCATTCCCTTTATATATTGCTTCCTCTCAAGTAACAAAAAACCCCACTAATAATCAGATTTCCAAGCTTTGGTATCATATTGTTTCTTACAACATCAACAACAAATATTCATATTATTAGTGAACACAAATTCTGTTCCAAGTCTAATTGTTTGGGACAAAAGATTGGCCCAACATAAGGTCCTCTCCAGAAAACCTACAGTCAAATATCTTTGACATTGAGCATTTTGTAGCAAATAGCAGAGAATGTGTTGTGCAGCTCATTTCAAGATATTCAAAAGAAAACATCTGTGATTTAGTCTTGCAGCTATTTATAGAAAGCTCTTTTCTGAATGTGTCTGTGTAAGTGCTAATTATGCAGTGCCAGCACAATTATGTAAAGAGCCCCTGTGAAGTAAAATAATTAAAAGTCAAACCCGAAAATGATTTTTAACACTGAAAAGAGCTTTAAAACATATGGAAAAAGCTGGTGTTAAAGCCATGTTTCATCTCTCCTTGTTATGTGTGAAACTGTGAGCTGCAGCTCATATGACAAGCGATTCATTTCTGAAGTCACTGTCAGTTATCTGTCTTCACACTGCAGATAAATCGTGACAGGGTCACACTAAGCTGTGGTGAAACGATAGAGGCTCTGTGACAGGTAAGTATTGACTCACTTCCTGTCTCATCATGTGCAGATTGAGGCTGGTTTGCGTGCACTGCACTTGACTAGCTCCACTTCCAGGTTATTTTCAGTAGGGACGATAACAGAGTATGTTTTGTGCTGGGGCTGGCTGAGTGCCTTCCGGAAGGATTTACACTTAATTACCACAACAGGACACATGACAGTGGACTAAGGTGGTGACCTAGAAATGATTCCAGCCGAGTCAAAAGTCATACATATCTGAGCAAACTGGGAGTTTGCACCGAGTAAAGGTAAAAATGAACTGAATGTGACGTGCATTGAGATACGCCCATTTTATTTTAACAGCTGAACACGCACTAGAGGCGTGACACAGCAGTGTTACTGTTACTTTTTTAGAGAGCTAAAAAGGAACAAAAGCTAGTATTCTTCCCCAGAGCGTGTTCTTTAGTTATATTAATAACAAAAGTGAAGTTTCACTGGTTAAAATAACAAATGTCATGTACATGCGATGACTGTATGCAATAGGAGCATCAATTGGTGCATGTCAAATAAGGAGCGGTTTTTAGTTTTTTTATTGTTTTCACTGCATTTGGGTCTTAACCAAGAACACCATAATCTTAAAACATGATAAGAAATGAACTAGGTGTTAAATCAGCTAAAAACTGCATTACTGTGAGTCTTCCTAGCATTGTTTTAAATTAAAGATAGGTTACTCAGCTCATTGTTAAACAGTCAATATTATCTGCTAATATTAACTGTATGTTATCCTTCATTTTATTAACTTGATAAGCAGCTCACTGATACACAGAATCTCTAAGGTTACAGTGGAAATGACACAGACTGAACATGAAAACACAAATGAAGGAGCGGGAAAGTGTTTCTGCGTTTACCTCTATCAGTGAAGTACAAACAATAGCACCAGCGTTCACCATGGGGTTGTGGGGCTTATCTGCACAAAATAAAAAAAGCTCAGTTAGCATGCTGCAGAGGATCAAAGTGTAAACACTCACCTGAGGGCTCTGTATATAGACAGAACAAACACTGAAAATCAAATACATGTAGAGCACACAATGACTGAAGATACTAAAAATAAATATATGTTTTAATAGAGTATATACAAAATAGCAGCAGAATGATGTGAACAAATGTTTTCAAATGTTACTTTGGCATGTAGCCAAGTTTTTATGACATGAGATTGTGGATTTGGCACACACAAAGCTTGGAACACTGACAAAGTCTGTGTGGAAAGTTGCTCTTATTTAGGCTGGTGCCCCACAAGGACGAAAACGGGTTGTATCCGCATATTTCTCTTGTGTATAGCCCTTTTTGCCACATGAGGCCGTAACTAAACGATAGAAACGGACCCCGCAAACGATAACAGGTCCAAAGGTGGATAGATCTGGGAACGGAGCGCTCTGGGGGGTCATACGGCTCCGTGTGATCGCCTCTATACGATCATTTTGTGATAATGATGACGCAATAGCCCTGCCTCCCCCATCTCTGCTGCTCACCCCCGCAAAAGTAAACTGCACACTGAATTCAGATTATTACCCTTAGCTATTTTAATTACCTCTCAAACTACCTAAACTAGTTATAAATATGTTTATTTTTTTACTGTCGGCCGGGTCACTCATTACTGGATCAGCTGCTGCATGAGACAGACACTGACGCTGTCAGAAGAGAGGAAAAAGAGAGGACAGGCTCCGTGTATTTATATATATATAGTCGTTATTCATTTGTTTTTAAAGCTTAATAAATAACAAAGAAGACCTTTGACCGGCACTTTTATAATTTTGTCCGGAAGATTTAAACTTTACACACGTTGACCGGCGAAAAACTCTGCCCGGTTCACTCGGCCCCCACCAAGGAGAATAAACAGAAGGGCAACCATGCTTCTTCGCTGCTTTTGTGGAGGAAGTTACAGCGCCACGTACAGGCTCGGCATATGTACTGCAGCTTTTTCCAGCGGTTGGAGCTAAACGTTGCTGTCTCGTGTGAACAGACACTATCCGGTGTATATTGCGTGTGGACGGAAGCTTTTTTGCGATTGCGATTGCGTTAATCCTATGCGTTTTGCCGTATGCGTTCCCGTGGGGCAAGCACCTTAAACTCTGCCATGTTTAGCTATCGGAATGAGAAATACTGGATTGATTTCTGGGAGGGTTACTTCACAGTTGCTCCTAGTCTAGAATAGAAATATTTATAAACATAAATTAATTATATAAAGTAACACATTTATAAAAGTATGAAGAAACATGTGCATTGCACTACAATATACTTTGAATAATACATATTTTAATTAATATTTATACTACAATAAATAACACATATTTAAATAATATCATGTTTAAAAGCATGATTAATTTAAATACAGATTTAGCATTTTAACACATCTGTGATGATCTATGAAGATGGGTTCATGTTTGAATAATACAAATAGAGCTGCGATGATGAAGTGTCATGTTTCAACTGTGAGTGGAGCTGGATAGATGCCACTAAGCAACAATGAGTCAAGCTAATCGACTACTGTTTAACTGAAGACATTTATTTAAAATCAAATAATTAAAAATGTTTTAATGTAAAAAGAAAATTAGGATATAGAAAGTCTTGCTCTCGTGTTAATCATTGGTCAGCTGGAGGTCAGGTGACTTCTGACATATTCTCTTCAGGGAGAGTAAAACTAAGAATTAGTTTAGTCTATTCCATAAGCTGCTCTATGTAATGAGCTCTCTTCCTCTTTAGTTATAATCATGCTGTGCAAATGTAATGACAAGATGACACAAAGTCTTCCCCCCTTAGAGCTCTAAAAGCTCTAATAGAAGAGTAACACTGCAACATTTTTACAATAGTGTGTAGGAAAGGAAAAATATACCATGAACTGAAGGAACGAACTAGAGAAAAAGGGAAAAGTGTATCGTCTCACCACCATCATCATCGAGGAAGAGTTTATTAAAGCGCAGGCCACTGGGCTCCTTCCCAATAAAACTGTGCACGTACTCAGTGCCGTGGTCGTGGACAGCGATGGCGTACTTCAGGGGCTTGACACAGGACTGCAGACAGAAGGGGACCTTAGTGTCTCCTACTGTGTGTCTACAAGACAGAAGATAAACGTTATCTAAGCGTGCAAAATCAGCGGCAATGTCAGTGAATAGAAAACAACATTTTTAGAGAACCATGAACAGACTACACAATCAAAGGAAAATGTTCTTATTAAGAAGATATCATTTCATAGAATGCCGTTCGGGGAAAACCATAACCTTCAGTGACAGCATGATAACGCAATCTGTTCAGTGCCGTTATCTTTATGACTTCCTCGCTTACAAAAACACAACTAATATACACACCTATGGAATTTTACAACTGCCGAACGGATCAAGACACCTGCTGATATCATTATACTATTCTTTGCTACATTCCTTATACTGGTTATGTTTTTACTGTTAAACACACAACACCTGTACAATATATTGAAATGTCTTGCAATAAATTAAACCATACATTTCATTAAGCTTCTCAACAAGTATTGGGAGCCATGACGGTTGTGCAATAGGTCGCTTTTGTCAGTAGGTGTGTGTGATTTGTGTATGTGCAAGCTGTGTATTTGTACACAAGTAGTGTGTTAACATGTTAAGTATTTTATCTTTCGCTATTATTGTTGTCTTTTGTGGAACTGTGTCCAAAACAAATGACCTGTATGGACTATAAAATATATCGTACTGTATTGACTTGAATCAACGAACAGATATTGGGCTTTACTAAGAATATTACACTGCCTTCAAGAAAGAGGATTTTATTTTTATTTCACCCAACCTCATTAATGAGCAATAAGTGGCACTTGAAACACTTTGTAAAATAAAATCCCCCTTGAGTTTTATAAGTTAGAAACTAAGGAATGGTTCTGAAACTGCAGTAAAAACTAAATCAGAAGGGGCTCGTTTGCATTCCTTACTGGATACCATTTGGTTATTATTTAGCAAACAGTTAAATGGAGTCAGCGATTTCACTCAGAGCACAGAGCTGCCATTATGATGATGACTGATAAACATCCTACAAACAGTAAAGGTAATATGAAAACATTTGAGAAACATGACGGTGTCCCTTTAATACTTGTCCCCGCTCAGGACTCGTGTCTCACCTCTGTCCGTCCACTGTGCACAGGGAGACGGCCCACAGGTCAGGGCTGAATTTGGCGAGCTGAGGAATGTAGTCTGCAACCTGAAAGAGCGGGAAGGAAGATGAAAGAGTGTCGACGCAGCAGAGGCTCACCTTCACCTCTGACTGGAGCAATAACGACTGACCGCACAAATCCTCATGTGTTGACAAGAGAATTCCCCCCGAGAGGCTCATATTACAGGAAATGACAGTTTTTTACTTTTGTCTTTTATGTTCTTACATTACCCACTATAGCAACAACTCTTCGGCCTTTTTCCAGGAAGCCTTTTGACAAACCCCAGAGAAGTGTTTCAACGCTACGAAAAAGGACAATGTTTCCCCTTATTATTGACACTGCCTCACACTAAGCTGCCGGTTTTTTATTCTTGAACTCAAACTATTATTGAACGCTGAGAAAAAAACCTCTGCAGAGTTGGATGAACATTGAAATGCAGGCCGTGCTGGGGAAGCTGAACAAAGCTTTGGAAAAATTATGACGTGACCCTGCCTCTAATGGCGCAGTTCCACTACAGCGCAGAGCTCGCTTTAAGCGTGCCGTGTCGTGCCGTACCCGTTTTTGGTTGCGCTTCCACTAGGCCTAGTTACGGCCCGGCCCGGCCCGGCCCGGCCCGGCCCGGCCCGGCCCGGCCCGGCCCGGGGCCACTTTTTCACCTCTTTTCTGGCCCGACAAAATTGTGGTTCTATCGGGGCCAACAAACAGGGCTGAGTCGGGCTGAGTATGCTAAACTAGAGAGAGGAGCGCTGGCAAGAGGGCTACAACTACAACAAGATGGACATATTTGACCGTGATTTAATTGTAATACACGTTTCAAAATGATGCCGAAGTAACAACATACTGATACCGGTTAGTAAAAACCATGAATTAATGCTTTGTCAAGTCTGCAGACAGACGGCAGGCGAAAACCTTTTAAAATTCGTGTTTTTCTAGATGGAGATTGGCTAAGCTAACGCAGTATATGCTCCGACCGTCCACACTCACAACGGCCTATACAGACATAAATAAAGCAGCGACTGTATTCACCATGACACAGGCAGTCTGTGGTGTGTACTTGTTTAACTTTTGTCTAGTTTCTGAACAGATATGAGGAGCTGTGAGCTCTGAGTGCTAACAGCTAACGGCTGTGTTGTGTTTTCTGGAGTTCTCATTGAAGATGACGTCACTGCTCCGCCTACACTGCGTTACTATAGTAACTACCCCAGTTCCTAAACTGCAATGGAAGCGCAGCATGAAGTGAGTCGGCCCAACGCGGCCAAGCCGTACCGAGCCGTACCGAGCGTGGCCGACCGTGTAGTGGAACTGCGGCATAACTGTCTCTGTTATGGTTCTTTTTCAATTTCACCAAGTTGATCACACATGATTAACTGTGACCGTCAAATATTATTAAAATCTATGGGTCTGAATCCGCCAGGTTAATGTGCATGTTGGTACAGTATAGTTATTTGCCAGTAGACACTTTTATTTTGACTTGTCAAAGCATGAAAGCCGTGAATAAATTACAAAATTAACTGGTGCACCAAAATATTTAAGAAGACAACGGATGCTTTCTAACTGAGAACTGTGTTTTTAAATATCTAAACCTTTTCGAAACTAGCACTTAGAATAACTTGACAACACACAGAAAAGTGGTGACAAAAACAACCAAGCACCACTGGTGAAAATAGCAGGTAGTTCAGTGCAGGTGTGAATACAACTATCATCCTTTTAACATGTTCCGAGGTGGCTTTTTCCTGCAGGTGTACACACCCACATCTGATACCTTTAATACCAGCTGAATGCAGACTGAACCCAGGAAGAAATGAATCTGTATTATGATGCTCTGACAGAAACAAAAAAGAAAATAAAGAGTCATAGATGAAAGGACACACCTGTCCTTCATTGAGAGGTTTGGCACTCTCATACAGCTCATCAATATGGGAGGTGAAGGACTGGAAGTCTGGAATGACGAACTTCTTGCGGAAGGCCTGAGTGAGCAGGACAATGTTGCTCTGGACACACCTGATAAATAAACCACAGATAGCATGCTCAAACACAGTGACTGCATGCAATCGGAGGAAAAGTTTGTCAACCAAGTTTGCAACCTGAAGTGTGACAAACTTCTATGCAAAGTGGCTGATGAAGAAGTTTCAACATAACATATTGATCAGTTACATTTTGAATATAGTGATTAATGATCACTATATCAATGATCAATCCACAGACTGTAGGAAACCATCATAGTGTAGTGACATTATCAGAAGGTTTCAGGGACGTTTTGATGCTCACATTTAAACAAACTTCTCCTTAAGCCTAAATGTGTTACTCATTAAACAATAATTTGCCAGCCTTGCACTTAAATGTATACTTGAAGAAGGGAAAGTAAATACTGAGAGCTTAACATTTCATAAACAGAATCATTTCTACTGTGAAAAAGGAAGGAAATTGGGAGTTTCCCACTGACTGCTGTCAATAGATGTATTTGACAAATATCTAATGGAAAACCCCAGTATAGGGCATTTTATGATTATATAGGCATACAGTTATGCTGGTTGTTTTTCCCCAAACCGTTACTCTAGAGGCGCCTTCACACCGCAGTACTTTTCCCACTTTAGTTCCGATATAGTTCTGAAATGTTGCATTCACACCAAAAAAAAATCCGGAACAAAAATGTGTTCATGAGAACCTTTTTACCCCCTTTGCCGTCGCTGCTAGAGAGCAGGGACTTTCGTGGGAGAAAAAGGTTCCAATTTCTGATTGGCTGGGCGGATTGCAAACCACTCCCCGTAAAAACCCCCAAAAAGTTTGGTGAAGCCGCCATTTTATTATCCTCGCATTAGCATCATTAGCATTAGCCCAGCGCAGAAACGCAGAGAGACTAACTTATGGCAACACAAAAGAAAACATGGGAGCGGTGGAGATGAGGAGGTGTCGGCGTTCTGGCGATTTACTCAGAAGGCTTCAGTAGAAGCTGCTGGGAGTCCCAGCAGCTTCTACTGAAACCACTCCAACTCCGGGGACTTCCGGCCGGGGACTCCGGGTGGCAGTATACGCCGTGAAGTTGTTTGCGGCCTGCCAGTAAACCCAAAGCAGAAGAAGAAGTGACGTCAGCGGCTTCATTTGCCTAATCCTTCCCCAGGGACTTATTCCGGTGTGAACGCGATCTGTACTTAGTTCATCACAACTAAAGAGTTCTCATGAACTAAGTTCTGATGAACCTTTGTGGGAAAGGTACTGCGGTGTGAAAGCGCCTCAGGAGGTCTTAACCAGGTACACATTTCTGAAAACTTTAGAGTGGTGAAGAGAGCTAGTTTTGTTTCATAGACACCAAAAGCCTGCTAGTGGACTACAGTATCTTAAATTCTTTGTTATTAGGACGCAAGGCTCTTCATGTCCCACGTGGGGTATAACATGCATTTGGATCTTATTTAAATATCTATAACAAACCACCAATAAATGCAATGTTGCATAACCTTACATTAAATACATTGATATCATTCTTCTTGTATTATGAAACAGAAAGAGCTCATTTATATAATTTATTGAAATGGAAGTGCACAATTTACACAAAAACAGAATAGTCCAAATGCTTTTTAATTGTTACATTTTTGCATGTAGGCAATATGCAAATGTAAACAATTAAGCACGTTTGAATGTGCTAAAAAAAACAACATACAACGCCTTTTTTGTGCCAAGAATAGTAAAAAGTGATTGGTTAAGGCGATAAAAAGTGCCACTATTGTAGATGTACATGATGGGGATTAAACACAGGACAAGACACAACACGACACGCCTTACTTCTTAAACTGGTGCCTGTCGAGCGTAACGCCGTCTGATGAGTTCCTCAGAGTTTCTTTCAGAGTGTCCATGCATTCCTTCAGTCTGGGATCCCCAGATCGGAGCCCAGTCGTTTTAAGTGCCTAAAAATGGAGGAATTACAAACGCTTCTGAATAGAAAGAATGTATAGGAAGCAATCACAAGTACAGAGATAACTTTGTAATGCACTTATCAATGCTGGGAAATTACATTGTTACTTATTAGATGCTTTTACCCAAAACGATTTACATACTCAATATTACACTCAACTTTAGCACCCAGCATCACATTGAACTGAATTTGAAGGACTTACTGTGAGAAATTTATGAGCAGGAATTGTCTCTTGACCTTCTGCGACTGTGTAGAAGAGCAAGTCCTCCAAACTAGGGAGAATGCCAGCATTTCTTCTCCTAAGAAGACAGAAAAAAAAACACACATGTATAAGACTTCAAGCAATGTGAAAGTACTCAATGTTAGCATCAACCCCGTAGTAAAATACATAGGATATAGCTGAAAAGAGAGGATTAACATGGGCATTTGTTTTATATGCAAGAACAGCACTGCTGTGGCAGCTAGGTTGATATGCAGCAGGACTGCCTTTAAGCACAGACCATAATACATTACATTACATTACATGTTACTTGTTAGACGCTTTTATCCAAAGCGACTTACATACTCAATACTGTGGGCAACAGGAGCAACTTGGAGTGAAGTGTCTTGCTCAGGGACACAACGACATCCTGACTGCAGTGGGGTTTGAACCTGTGCTCCCCTGATAAGAACACCAACGCACTAGTCCACTGCGCCACAGAGCCTGTTCCCATATGAGGCTGTTGATATACAGTCTTATCACATTAGTGAGGGATTTGAGCGATATATACTGGAATAATGCTATCCAAGTGTCAGCAATAGCCACACAGGCGTGTGTGTCTGTTGTTAGAGCATAGAGATCAAAGCCTTAATTGTGCAGCAGAACACTACTGAAGGTTTCATGTTACCAGTGATCCCTTACGAATAACACAAGGTATCAAAGCTAGGGATGGGTATCGTTAAGGTTTTAACGGTACTACTACTTTTATCGGTACCGCTTATCGGTCCGGTCTTTTAACGGTATTCTTATCGGTTCTTTTGGAGAGAAAAATGAGGTAAACTAACTATATGTTGTATGTCAGGGACTACGGATGGAAATTAGCTCAAAGCTAAAATCCGGCATATTTACACTTGAAGCATTATTTGTCTAAAGCAGGGGTCTCCAACCTTTCTTCATCTGAGAGCTACTTTCAAAAAATGAAAGTGGCCAAGAGCTACTTGCATCACATCGCTTACATTTATTCACATAGCCCTCATCAGTTGAATTAAGCTATACTTTTGTACACGTGTGAAATTGCAATACCTAAAGCTTATCAAAAATAAGGTCCAAGAAAACGAAGATTTCTCACATATTATTATGGCCCACATAATAAGTACATCACTGAACATTCACATAAGTGTCCTTAATCACCACCTTACAAGCATTTCACTCTTTTGTTAGTGAGACGAATGGCACTGCATGCAGTCCACCATAGAGGTGTATGCTGGACCCACTTAGGTTCACTTAATAGAGTCATTTAAATGTTCATCAGTCGGTCTTGTTCTGTATTTAGATTTCATTCATGTCAGAAAAAGCTGCTTCACAAAGGTATGTATAACAGAACCAAATAAAGCAGACATTTTCAGTGCTGCTTGGTGAATGTTCTTATAGTTTTCTGGGTCTACAAGGCTCCAGAAATGTTGTGAGTTTTTGCTGAGACTTAAGCTGAACCTTATTTTGGAGATCTCCACAGGATTGACACTGAACAGTTGTTCAGCCATCTTTTCTTCTTCTTCTTCTTCTCTTCGTCTTGACATTAAATTATAAACCATAATAAATCAATTGTATAGGTCTAGCCTCCCTATATCTGTGTGTGAAAATGGTTCCATCCTCAAAAACAAAAAACTAATACTTCTGCAGTCTAGCTGCAGCTTCTAGCTACGGTCTTCTGTTAAAAAAAAGACACTGAATGTGGCATCACACACAGGACTTGAGTCTGAAAACAGCAGGAGTATTTACAATAGCATTATAAAAACAAAAATAGTGCATGTGGGTGCACACTTACATTCTCTGTCTTACTGTTACATAAATCCCATGAATGTATGAGATTAAGTTAGCTTCATCATATCTCAATCAGTGATTAAGGGAATAATAAAGTTTCTATCGGGTCACTATCAGCCTGTCACTCATTATTTTCAGGAGGGGGCGGGGTTTGGAGGAACGGAGAGGAGACGGTGATCGCGGAAGCTTTCCTCCTGCCTTCACAAACTTTACACAAGTATTTATCAACTGAAAATAGCAAGAGGACATTCATACTCTGCAATCCAAGACTTGATTAAATCCACCAAAAACCTGACATGACGATAACGAGTGTTTTTCAAAAAACACAAATCCCTCCCTGTGTGTCTCTGAGGCGCAGCGACAGGGCCTGATTCAGAGCGGGTCATTCTGCTGTTGGTTCTGGACTGGTGCTGGTGGAGAAAGCAGACTGCTCCGTGTGTGTTGTCGCTGTGCTGCTGTCACGTCTGTTCCTTGATCTCTGCGTCACCGACCATTTGATATTCGTGTGACAGAAAAAATTCTAAAATAAAAAAACGTTATTGTCCAGCCGCGGCCGAAAAATCAATAAGCAACCTTACTACGCTATCATCGATAATCGAGCGGCGAGCTACTGAAAAGCTGCCCGCGAGCTACCGGTAGCTCGCGATCGACGTGTTGGAGAGCCCTGGTCTAAAGTGTTCATTAATGTGCATTGTCCCTATTCAAATAAACAATTAAATGAAAATTAACAAATTGTGAACAAAACTAACATTGCTTTTTATTTAAATGAAATACATAATATTTCACATCAACAGAAACAACAACGTTTTAACAAATCATATTAAATAATCTGATGACAGAACTGTGAACAGAATGGCTGAAACTTTAACAAACTAAATAACTCAGTTCCCTCTAATCATTAACCCATGTTTGAATCATTGAGTTAGCTCCGTGTGTTGCTGCTAGCATACATAATATACCTGACGTGGAAACGTTACTCGTGGATGGGGCTACAGAGCTACTAGAGAGACAGTCGAACCCGGTGCATTTCTCCGTCTGAACGTGGTGCACTTTTGCAAGATGTTTAGACAAATTGCTCGTGTTACCGCCCTGACATGCTAAACTCTTATTGCACTTTAAGGCAACGAGCAACGAGCGAGACGGGTAAAGTTTAACCACACCTCGGAGCGCGTTCTCTCCGCCATCTCCTCCGTGTGTGTGTGTTGCTGCATGTAGCAGCTGCGTGTGTGTAAACTGCCCCGCCCCCTCGCACACAGGCGGGGGAGAGAGATCTCTCGTCTGGATTGGAGAGATCGAAAATACAAAAAATGACGCATTTTGCAGTCTTTTTGCGTATTAGAAACGGAGTTGGTGACACTAAAACTGCAATATAATGTTTGTGTAGCAATAATACACATGACATATTTTTTAGATGTCTCCAGTACCGATAAAAAGACCGATAACGTCGGAGCTTAACGGTACCCACGGTCTTTAATAATTCAGCCCCGGGGCCCGTTTAATACCGGGGCTCGGTACCCATCCCTAATCAAAGCTGGAAATCAGGATATGACGACAGAGCGAAAGCTGGACTGGCTCCATAAATAAGAGTGATCATGATAAGAGTTAATGATCCTGAAAAGAGGTGTAATATTGAATATAGTAAATAACAAGTCCCAAAACTGACTTTTTCATTGTTGCGCTTCAACAATGGGCTTCTCAGTGTAGTGTTAAACCCAAAATCCAATGATCATATTCCAAAAGAATGTGAAAAGGTGGCACATCTTAGATGTCAAGTAGGACAAAACACTCACATTTCACTTGTTCATTTGGCTCACATCACAGAATGAAATCTGGGATGTCTGAGATGAGCTACTGTTCCACATAATCTACATTTTCCTCTAAGAAAAAACAGTCCCGCATTTAAACAGTCAATAGGAAACAACATGCATGAAGGCTACAGAGCTTTGCACTCAGTAATACAGCCTGCTTCTCAGCTCTTCTGCATTGGTTTCCAATCAGATGTTTACAGGGCTATGTGCTGTTTTGCATATTGTTAATGAAGAGGAATGTCAGGTGTATGTCCCTGCAGGTGTGTTTCGGCATGATAATGGAATGCATGCTCTCAGCTGCAGCCTGCTGTTTTCAACTAACACACTTTAAAGGTGTGTCAACAAGCAAGATGTGACAGCAACCTCTCCTTCACCCAAAGCACCCGTTTACTGGACGCACACCATGAGGTGAGGGTATGCAGTGTTTCCCCTACCATTGTCTTGGCGGGGCGCCCTGCCAACGGAGCCCCGCCTGAAATTCCAGGTGTTTTTTTTTTTTTAATATATATATATATATATATATATATATATATATATATATATATATATATATATATATATATATATATATATATATATATATATATATATATATATATATATATGCAGGGCAGGGCAGGGCATTTAGCGGCAGTGACTCAACAAATGGCCTCTTAAAATGTATCGTCAGCAATGTATGACAAGCAGACTGCTTGTTTAATGTTAGACTCACACCAATAGCTCAATATGATCATAACACGATTGCTTTCATATCAGAGATCAGATGAAGTGGAGCTGCCTCCAGCAATAGAGGATGAGGCAGAGAGAAGCAGCAGCAGCACAGGGTTGCAGCAGGTATGTTATATGCTGTAGTCAGGTGATTTAAATGTATCAATGAAAGGAAGAAGTGTACACTGTAAAAACAGTTCCGATGGTGAAGTCAACAAAACTCAATTTTTTTATGTAATTTACTTGCCCTAAATTAGTTTTTTTTCAATGTGCGTTTAAATAAGTAACACGTAAGCAACAATGAGAACATGTTTTAAGAACTCATTAATTTGTAAATTAATATCACATTTTCTGAACTTTCTTTAAAAAGACGTTTTGGAAAACGTAATAAAAATGCTTTTTTCAACGCCACGGTCATGCCACGCCCTCAAACGAGAATACCGCGGTGTGAGACTTCCTGTTCCTCTTTGCACTGGTTCTTCAGCAGTTGGACACGTGTTTGCGTTGGATCCTCCTCAAACCATCGTAAAACAAGTAAGCATGCCACCTGAGTTATTAATTACTGCTTTTTAACTAGAAAGTGTTATTTACTTTTCTTGTATTCACTGTTTTGAACGAAACATCGACATTTTAATGCATGCCAGCGCCATTACTGCTGTTAAAGTTAGACTCAGCCCTGTCGTGCTCATGTAGTCTATTTCTTCACGCAAAGTTGTTGGGCAAAGTTTGCATCAAGTGCTTACCGACGCAATTCTGTTAAAAG